CCTCGCCCCTCTGCGAGCACGCGGCCCTGGGCGTGGGCTTCACGATGGCGAGCACCGGGCCCTCCTCATCCTCATCGGGGGGCGGGCTGTCCTCACTCGGGATGACCCGGAAGTGGGTCTTTTCGGAAGGGGTGATCGTGGCGGTCCGAGGGTGATAGTCAGCCCTTTCCCTTTTGCTGACCTAGCAAAGAACGGTTTAAAACCAAATGGATTTAAATGGTATTTACCATCCGATTCCACGTTCTGAGCCAAAGTCTCACTACGTAGTTTAAGTTGGCCTTCAACTCTTGGAGGTCCTCCTGCCTCAGGGTCCCAAGCCCTGGGATTACAGGTGTGGGCCACCACGCCGGTCACAGGTGTGCACCCACTTCAGCCACACTTACACGTGCCCCGCAGTGCAGAAGGCTACGTGAAAGAGGACAGCTCCAGATACTCAGAGGCGGAGGACACCCTGCAGGGGAGAAGACTCACAGCTGCGTACTGAGGAAAAACAGCCGAGCCTGCCTGCTTTACAGCTCTATGAAAACACGAACAGCCAGATGTCCAGGCGCAACCACAGAAACGAGCCAAGTGTGTATTTAAAAAACTAAATTCCACAGGAGATCTATGTATCTTTCTCAAGATATGTATCTCTTCAGTTTCTTCATTATGAGCTGGCAAAGAAGCTTCAAGTCAATGTTGTATGCAAAATTTCAATGTGGAAATTTTATTTTCCTTTATGGGCCTTAAAAATTTCCCTCTACCCTACTTCTCTTGCAGTGCGTAGGTTATGAATCACGGTGACGTGGTGACCTACGGCCACACGAGGGCGCTGCCGCCACCCTGCTCCGCAGACCCGGGCCAAGCGCCGCCCTACCTTGGTGGACTCCGGGAAGCCGCCCCACGTCCACTCCATGTGCGACTCGGACCGCAGCAGGCTCTCCGATGGCTTCACCTCCAGCTCCGAATCGCTCTTAGGACACACCACATGGGGGTAGGCGCTGGAACACAGGGGCGAAGACAGGAGCGCCGCAGTGAGGCAGTCTGCAGCCCACGGGCGTCCGCGCTCTCGGCCACGTCTTCCCCTCCCAACACCGGCGCGCATCGCCCACTTGCACGTTAGCCGCGGACACGGGCAGAGCACCAGTGCGGCCACAAGTCTTTCCACTCGTGACTCACCCTGCACAGCTGACACGAGACCGGGGACCAGGATTCCACCCAGCTCTACCGCTGGCTGGCACTGTTAGGGTCAGCGGGGTCAGGCCGAGGACAGTGCGATCGCTGAGGAAATACCAGGCCCGCGGGACCCCGAGCAGCTGGCACACACTCCCGTCTCCCCGAGGGAAACAAGGACTTCCAGAGATACATACTTCTCTCGTGGGGACCAATCTCCATCGGATAAGGCGTAGTGATCCCCAGCGCGGAAGAGCAAAGGTTCCTCATACTCGTCTTCTTTTAAGGAAGTACTTGAAGATCCTCTGTGAAGAGAAAAGACAAATGATGGCCCAGCCTTAGTTCCAAGATGCGCCCGCCCAGATCTCCCAACAACCTGTCTCAGTGATGGGATGAAGAGCGCCCATGACCCTAACTCCTCCTTTCCAAGCGGACTCACCGATGCCGCTCCCAGAAACCGCTGCAGCCACTGACTGTGGAGCAGGCAGAGGGAGAACAAAAAGGGCTCCATCCCTTAGGGCTGCAGATAAAGCGGTACAGACATAAGTGTCTCCTCTGACCTGGGGGCTGCACAGGCAATCAGAATGCACCCTTCTGGCCGTGGCTGGGAGGCCATGGGGAGACCTTGGCGGCTGTATCTGGCCCCTGGCCCCCTCCTCTCGGGTGCTGCTTCCTGGATGCCATGAACCGTTCCGCCTTGGAGAAAGCCATCTAGGGACTGAATCCTCTGAAACCATGAGCTAAATCAGACCTTTCCTCCTTAAAATCGTGTAAGATACTGTGCCCCAGTAAGAAATAGAGGCCTACACCTGACCATGTGGTTTAGAGCCTTAAGAAATAGATTACAGGGTGAGTTTGGGATGCTTTGGTAAGCAGAGACTGAAGGGAGATTCTGGTCAAAGCTCAGAAGACCAGGATACTGACAGGAATGTAGACAGGAAAGGCCAGGATCAGGAAGTTTCAGCTTGGATGAAGAACTTCCTTGGCAAATGGATCACAGCCATGTGTGTTATACCCTGGCAAAAGTATTGGTCTGTGTATTGGCTATGTCTAGAAACTGTGAAGGGCAGCAGATAAATTATCTGGTAATAATTTCCAGGCAGCTCGGTATTCAAGCTATGGCATGGGTGCTGCTGGTTCCTTTAAAAACAACAACAACAACAACAACAAAACAGATTTATAGTGAGAACGGGGTAAAAAGAAGAGCAGCAGAATGCAAAATACTTAAATTTTGGCCCCAAGGGAACCACAGTATAAAGTTGGGGCCAATGGAGATGTACTTGCTGCAGAGATGACTGCCATTAAAAGAAACCAAACACTTTCTACAGGGACAAGAAGAAATTGCCTTGATGGATTCTCAGAAATCAGCAAGACCCCATCCATCATAGGCTCAAGGGCGAGAAAGCATAGCCTCTCACTGGAGAAGAGTTTCTGGGTCCCCCCCCCAGAAAAGTGCTTCCCAGGGAGGCTGTGCCCTGGCACTCATTTCCCTGTGCTCAGCCATTCAGACTCAGAGGCTGCTGTGGCCACGGTCCAGGGGGCCTGGCTACTGCTTCCACTGACAGCGGACTGGGGGCCATCTACGTGATGCTGACTCTACCAGTACGCAGAATGCAAGAGTTGTAGGGCCTTGGGGGCCTCCACTCAGATTTCAAAGGAATGCCTGGCAGGCCAGACAAAGAGCGCCTGAGAGAACAGGGCAGGAAACTGTGGGAATGAAGCTGAAGATGCACTGGATGCCCCAGCAAAATCAGAGATGCCAGGAGTGTGGGTTGTGAGGAAAGCCGCAGGCTGTGAGTAAAGCCAGCCCGGGTGGTTGCAATCACAAGGCTGCAGGGGTGGGGGCACAGCCCTCTGGAACACACCCCTCACTACCATGTGCCCCGCATGCCGCGTATGGAGCTCCAGGACTCAAGCGTTTGCCTCGCCGGTCCTGTTCGCTCCCCCAGCCCTCCCTTTCAGAGCAGGGATGTTTCCCCCGTGCTGCTGCACAGCGGGACTGAGTAACTTGTTTCTTATTTTTACAGAGCCTCACAGCGAGTCTCAGAAGTTTGACCAGGGCTTTTGAGAAGTGCCAGAACTGCCAAAACCCTGGGGAAGGGGTGTTCCTGCAGTAACCGTCCATCTTAGGTCCTGGGCAATCAAAGGTCCAGATTTTCACCTGTAGGTAGAAGCTTATCACTTGTTGAAATTTCTTAGAAGAATAAAGTGCCAAATTCTCCAAGTCTAGGAGCCTCACACAGAGCAGTTGATTCTCTAATATGACAGATACGCAATGCGAAGTGAGGGTATCTCAGAGGACCATGGTATCGAAGACGCCCGAAGCAGGCTGTGGAGCGGGTCTGGCCGGAGGAACTCGCACCCTACTTCCGTTCCCACAACCGAAAGCTTCTAACTGGAAGGACAGTGTTCTGATCAGAAGCATACATTTCATCTATTCCGTTCCCAATTTGAGAATGCTCTCTCTTGTCCTTCACGGGCTTTGTTTACATTCATTTCCACAGAAACAGCACATAGCCCGCCCTCGCACACAGCTCACCTCCCCCAACTGACTGCCAATAAGTCAGTGGCTTGGCCTGGCCACCGGCATCGGTCATCCGGCACTGGCTCTCTCTCTGGGCTCTGTCTTTTAGTTTTAGTTCTCAGACCTGTGTCATACATGGGGCAGGATATTGGAACCTAACCACAGAGGTCTCCAGAAAATATTCATGACAGAAGCCAGTTTATATTTTTAGTATTATTTTTCTTCCTTTGTATCTTAACCTAACAGGGCCAGGGATGTAGCTTTGTGGCACCATGCCCGCCTGGCAGGTGCAAGGTTCTGTTCGATCCCCAATACAAAAAAAGAAAGTTACATTCACCTAATGTTCTAGCAATACCTCTGACATGTAATAGTTTTCCCATATGCCTGCATTTTTAAATTTAAGGTTTTCCTAATTCTAATCTTTCAGATGACTACTTGATACACAAACTTATTCAAGGGGAGAGAAATATGTATTTGAGGAAGCAGACATCTAGGAAAAAATAACAAAGGAAAGTGAAACGGTAACCTTTCCTTTAAAGAAGGGGAATCAGCAAGTGAGGCGGTGCATGCTTGTGCCCTGCACTGCCACCGAGGCGGGAGGGTGGTGAGCTCGAGGGAGGCCTGGACACACAGACCTTGTCTCAAAAGGGGAACGGGGAAAGCCCCACCCTTCCCGAACGTATTTCACCACAGTGCAAGAGCCCAAGCAGAGCTCAGTAAAACAAATGGGATTTAGTAAAACACTGAGAGGGGAGCTCAGGTCCCCGGGAAGACACGGCCTGGCTGCTGCTGAGCTCGAGCTGACACAGCCACGAGGTGAGGAGATGAGAGCCGTGAAGCACTTTCAAAATGCAATGTGCCTGAGAACAGGGACCAGCAAGGAGATCCCAGCAGCGCCTGAGGCTGAGGACAGGATCCCAGAGTCCAAGGAAGCGCACGCAAGAGCGGGGCAGTGGGCAGCAGAGCGAGCACGTGCTCCCAGCGGGAAGGGCCTGCTCTCGCCCCTTATTGGCTCCCGGACGCTGCCCTGGCCTGGCTCCCTGCCGGCCACCCCATGGGAGCGGACAGCGCCCTGGTTCCCTGACCTGCGGCCTGAGATCTGCAGACACTTGTGTGGAAATCATATTCTACCTTTCCAAAGTAGGAGAAGTCACCGGGAGCCAAGACAGGCACTGTCTATGTGGGCTCGCAGCTCCCTGACTGGCAGCAGGAGGTAAACAGGACTTCTGCGACCTGTGACCAAAGATCATGACTCTGGCACAATGTTTATCAGCGACTTTGGCCCCACGGTCAGCAGGAGTTTCTGCATGGCTCACGATGAGTCTGCATCTGGAGCCTCTCCACAAAAGCTATTCCTCCAATGGGACGGACGGGCAGACGGAGCCTGCCCTGCGGTGCCCAGCTGCTTTGTCGGCAGCGAAGGGGGCAGGGCAGGGCAGCACAGGGCACCCCCCCTCCCCGCAGGGGCTCCCAACATCAGCTGCTGACCACAGCCGGGCCTGTGGCTGCCTGATAAGCACTGGGAACCCGGCAGGCCCAGGCCGCTTACATCACGACGCAGCCTTTCTCTTAAAGTCCTCATTTCTGTGGGCTGCATAATTAAGCAGACTTTTCAGAGCAAATTTCAGAAAGAGTCGCTACAGGTGACACCATCTACAGCTCACTGTGGGAGTGACCCGAAGCGCCCCCACCTGCGCCCAGAGGGCTGACTCAGGAGCCAGGCGCTGGCTCCAGATAGCGGCGGCCCTGCTCCCAGCCGGCGACAGAGCCAGCACCCCAGACTTGGGCCACGCAGCCTCTCCTGCAGCTCAGTATCTCTGCCAGGCAGTCACTCACACTTCCCACTTCAAAATTCCTTCAGATACCGACTTCTGTGCATACAGTGAGGAACTCTGTCTACGTCTCAAGAGTGTGTTCACACCCTAAGCTAAAGCTGCAAACTGTCCAGGGTCCGAAACTCTTCCCTACGGTGCTGACACGAGTTTGGGGACAAGCGCTTTTTAAGTAGGTCTCAAAAACATTATGAAGCCTAAAGTACTTTCACTAGTTCCATTTTTGTTAGTTCTAACAGGGATTCTGTACTCTATCAAAACTAAGAAAATCCAATGTATTCAGTGTGGGGAGAGTGTAAAGAGTACCTCATATGACAGCTATAATATAAGAAGGTGACTAGGAAAATTTCCACATATTTAAATATTACTATCAATTTTAGGATACTTCCAGGATTCACCATGCAGATTCTAAGACTTTAGAAAGTGAGGGAACAGTTTTGCCAAGGAATTATCCTATGTAGTTAGAATCCATTTCTTCTATATTAATAGTATTCTCTTGACTTAACTACAAAAACAAAGGCTCAGAAATGAACATTTAGGTAAAGATAAAATCTGCTCTGTGTGGTTTGGTTTCTTTTTTTTGTTTTTCTTTTTTTCGTTTTTTGAGACAGGGTCTCACTATGTAGCCCAGGCTGGTCTCAAACTCACAGCGATCCTCCTGCCTCAGCCTCCTGAGTGCTGGGATTATAGATGTGCACCACCACACCAGGCTCATGGTTTAGGTTTCTGTAACGAGCAAATGCCTGTCTCCTCCTCTGATGAGAACGGGCAGGACGCAAGGTGTGGGTGCAACTTCAGGGGCTGTGCTGAAAACACCCAACAGACCCAAGCTGGCTCTCAGGCCCCCAACCCAGCAGAGGAAGGGCAGAAGGGGAACAATCTGGGGAGGCCCCGCTGCCATGGGGACGGTGCCCTGGGTGGGAAGCGCGTGTTCCACCCCTGCCACCTCAGAGGGGTGCACATGGCAACAGGGCCGTGTTCTGGGCCACTCTTCTAGGCCGCTAAATAACTGCTCCAAGAGCTCACACCGAAAAAAGAAACAGGAAACTCCTTCCTCCTCAACTTGGGAGGCCTGGATGACAGGCTCCAACGAAATGTACACTTCAGCTCCTCAGCACCAGCAGAGCACCTACTCCAGGGTAGGGCATTAGGCCCACGGCCTCGACAGCAAATTCTGCAGGGTTGCAGAATGGGAAAAAGGAAACGCCTCCCGCCTTGTGCGCAGTGAGAGGCCCCGCGGCACAGTGTGTGGCTGGCCCTGGGCCCGCCCGCCCCGCCCTACCTGGCTGCCTGGGCTGCCTTTTCGTCGTCGGAGCTCAGGGCCATGTCCCGCATGTCCTCCGCAGTGGGGGGCACCGCCAGCTCCTCCTTCTTACTCTCCTGCTTGCACTTCTTTCTCCTCCGCTTTTTCTTTTTCACAGCACTGGGAGCGAACATTGTCTCCGTTTCCAGGATGTGCGAGACGTCCAGGCTCTGGGGCGGTCTCGCGTCTCCTTCTGACTTCCCCACAGGAGCATCAATATCCTTAAAGAACTGGTCTTCCGTGGGGATCGGGGAGGTGGCCAGGTAAGCAGGTAGCTTTTCCTTAGAGTCACAGAGAAAGCAGAGTTACTCCTGACACACTGGGTGCTGCTCAAAGCTGCACTTAACTCCACAGTAGAGGGGACAGCGCGCTTGTTCCGGGGCAGGAGGCCACCCTGAGCCCGGCAGACACAGCCAGCGGCAGCTCTCTCCGAACACGGCTGGGCCCTGCGAGGACCAAGCGCCCGGGGCCCACAGAGCACAGATGCGAGGGCAAAGTACGGCTGACTGGGCCCCCTGCCCCAGGCGTCCACAGCAGAGCTGCCCAGGATGCTGGCAGAGCTCACGAGATGAAGGGGACACCGATCAGGAGCAGCGGGACAGGTGAGGGAGGCGAGCAAGCTGGTGTTACAGCAGCAGCTAACGCCAGCAACACCACGCTGTCTGACGGTGCAAGACCTTGTAACAAGGGAATCAGTGAATCTGAAAGCAGAAAGACCCTTCCGAGAATGCTAAATTAGGCCAACATTGAGGAGCAATTACAGTCCTAACCGAACACAGAACCAGCCTCCCAGCCATTTGTCCACCCCTCTGTCCATCACTCAGAGCCAATGGAGAATTAGGTAAAAGATATGGACCTCAGGTAGGGCCGGGGATTTGGATCAGTGGTTCCGCTGTCTGCCTCAAAAGCACGAGTTCGATCCCCGGGTACCACAAAAAATAAAATGACCTCAAGTAATTTACAATACTCAAGTTTTTATACTTTTTCCTTCCTGAAAGTGTGTTTTGCTCATTTGAAGCTTCTGAACTTGGCCTTGGTAAACATATTCCCTGAAGCCGGGAGGTCTGTTTACCTAGACAAAATGTGCTCACCACCAGCACAGAGAAACTGGGAAGACACTGCACCCCGAGGGCTGGCTATGCTGTTTCTAGGGATTTGCCAGTTACAGGTTGCCTGACCTTCTTGAAAACTGTTTTATGGTATTGCTTCCTTGCTTTATTACAGCAATACAGACATAATCTGATGCCCACCAGTAAGGCAATGGTTAAATGAGCTGTGAACTTCCCAGCACAGGACACTGGTGATGACAGCCAGATCGAACTGGCTTGAAAGGGATACAGATGACACCTAAATGAGGCAAGTTTGAGGGAAACGAAAACTAAAACTAACTAGATGGAGCCATGAAAACTTTTGGTAGTTTTTATTCCTAGGTCAGGAGCTCCTGAGAAGCAGAGGCTGTTCCATTCATAGGATGTGGCACAGAAGTAACTCCAGTGTTTCTTGGAGGAAAAGGTTTTTTATTTTAAAGAGAAACACACTACACACTACAGAAGACCCGGTCCGCCGGTCACACATGGAGCAATAGAGGTAGGAGTGGGCTTCTCCGAGCTGACCGTGCCCGGCCCAGGCTCTCGAGTGAGCCCCGAGAGCCACAACTGAGTCAGGCAGGGCTGCCAGAGGCCCACTCCTTACTCCTGCGCTCGGGGGTGTGGAGCAGACAGGAGTTTAAAAGAAACACGGCAAGTGTGTCACTCTTGTGACAACTGTCATTAATCACGCCTCACTCTGCTCTGTGCCCATCTCTGAGGAAGGAGCCCCGCCTAGATCAAGTAAATGTATGCAGAAGTAACACAAAACAAGGAAGAGTTTAGGAACACGGTGTGTGCCAAGGCGGACCCAGGAGGCACACTGCCTCGCTCGCTCTGCAAACCGGGCCTGAGCGATTGGCTTTCTCTGTTGTTGCTGCTGTTTTGTTTTTTTCTGGTACCAGGGATCAAACTCAGGACCTTGCGCTTGTGAGGCAGGTGCAGTGCTACGGAGCTACACTCTGGCCCTGTTGGCTTTCTCTTAACTGAAGTATGATAAACATAAGCCATTTTGCACTATTTTTTGTTGATATTTTTCTTTGTGATTTTGTAACACCAATCGGCAAAACCAAAAAAGTAGTCCTGTATCCTTAACACTCAGGGAGCATCCTTTTTGCTGGTAGAGATTTTATCCTTTTTGGAGTAAAACAGAATGCTGCCCTCTACAAATTTTCGTAAGGCCCACAACGAATACATTCAAGCAGGTCCCCTGCTCACATGAGTATATACACCGTGGTAGGGCCGGGCCGGGCCAGGCCGGACAATTACACTTCCTTGCTGAAAGCAGCCATGTATAAAAGGACACAGGCCAACAGTTTAAATCTCTCTCGATCATAATAAATTCACAGACTATTCAAGGCTAGGAATATGATTTTCCCAACCCGAATGATAAACGTGTTCTCCAAGTTTAGAGGTCAAACACACAAGCACGCCTTGCTTCCCGAGGCAGGATCCAGTGGACAGCCAAGGCACAGCTGCCCGGACAGTCCATCGGAAAGCGTGTCCCCTTAGAGGCCGCAAGCCCGGGGCTTTCCGCTGTCCCCAGGCCCTGCAGCTGGCATGATGGTTTCTCAGCCCCAGCTCCTTTGCGACAGCTTAGTTCCAACGAAACTGCAGCCCATCTAGCAGGCAACAATCGTGTCCACAGCCAGGCAGGAGGACGCTGCTAGTCCCTCCTGCGCCGGGCGTGTCCCGGAGGCCCAGGCACAGCACGTAGTGCAGCTGCGACCTCGGGAACTTACATACTCCTCTCCCGTCTCCTCCACAAAGAAGGCTTCTCCATTGTCACCCAACTTCATGTGAAGATCCACCGCGCTGCCATTGATTTCGATGTCAATCTAAGGGCGAGACAGAGTGCGGCTTAGCACAGCACAGCCCTTCGTCCAGCTGGAGAGAACTTGCCACGGCCCGACAGCCCCCCTGAAACACGTGGATCAGGGCAGGGTGGGTGAGCTGACTCAGGGACGCCTCAGCGCCTGCCTGGAGTGCAAGCTGAGCCCCGCGCAGGGGTTCCCTGCGGTCCCACGCGCTCTGCCTAACACCCAAGTGGGTGTCCGCGCAAGCCATGACCACGTCCCTGGCGGCCCTCTGTCCACAGAGCCCGGCGTCAGTGACACCCTGCTGGGCTCCTCGCCTGCCCGAGGTGACCGGGGACCCTATAAACGCATCACAGGAAGAGGAACTGGCCCGGATGGGAATGCAGCTGAGAAACACAGATCCATTGATCGATAGAGCCAGAAGTAAAATCCAGATCACACCCAACAGATACAGGGCAAAGAGCTCCGTGCGGAAACCGTGATGGTGCTGCCAGCCCTGCGGAGGCAGAAGAGCTCCGCCGGGGGCTTCTCTCAGAGAGAGCCGCTGACAACTGCACAGCGCGCAGGCGCTACTTAAGGCAGAGTCGACTGGGCATCGTATGCTGTGTGTTCTGCAGAACCAGGCTTCCCGCCGTCAGCAGGAAGTTCCAAAGAAGGCCAGGGGAATACGAGCCCGTGGTGACGCCTAGGACAGAGGGCCTCTGTGAGCACCTGCAGGCGTTCCCAGGCACGCAAGGTGCACACCTGCACCCACGCACAGTACGAGAGCTGCACACACGCGTGCACAGACATTTCCTGCTCCGAGGCCGAGAGCCTCAAGCAATGACAGCTCAGCAGCAAAGAGCAACCCCACGGCCAGGAGAAGTGAGGCAGTGCCAGCACCGCACGGCTCTGCCCGGGCCACCTCCCGGTGCCAGAGGTAAGGGAGGGGCTACCGCTGGTGGAAGCTTTCAGAACGGACTCAAGCTCCAAGGCGCCTCGGAAATAACTGTAACACAGAAGGGAAAACCCCCTGATAGCCCCGAATTCATACTGATAGCAGTAACTGAAATGAGGACACAGCAGAGCGGGGCTGGCTCCTCTTCACAGAGTTACAATTCATAGGCAGAGTAGGAAGGACGGAAATAAAAATGATCCCCATTCAGCAACACATCTGCTTAGTAATCTGAACAAAGAGCAAGCTCAGCCTCGCCCTGGTAGCCTGTGTGCAGCAGCCCAGGGGACGCCGGGAACCCAGAGACCGGAGTGAGTGTCCGCGAGTGGCAGGTACCGGTGTCACTGCTTCCTGCCCCGGGGGAAGTGACGGCAGACTAAACGGGCGGCCTGCGGATCGACTGTTCCCTGCGCCTCAGCAGCCGGGGGCAGGGGAGGCTGACGACCTGCAGAAACAAGCAGGTGGCTGGCAGCAACAGGGACACAGCTAGCACAGACAGCAGGCACTCGTGGAAACCTGGTGACAGCGGACTAACGGCACCGCGCCGAGGCTCATTTCCGGCTTATGGTGACTGCACAGCGCTCCCAAAAAAGTTCACATCAGAGGAGGAAGTGAGGCTAGAGACACAGTTCCGAAGTAAACAGATGTCATGAGAAACAAGGCCGAGGAACTGTCACAGACCGGAGGGGACTCCAAGGGCAGGACAACGAAATGTTCCTCATCTTGACTATGGAGATGGCACAAAATATCTTGATTGTGGTTGGGGATAAATAAACATTAAAATTTATCAAACTGTTCTTCAAATCCGTCAGCAATTATAAAACAATACATCTGAAAAGGATAAATATTATGGGAAATGGGCAACAAATATAAAATAAAGAAATCCTATGTGATTTAAGAAACGTTACTAGAACAATTTCACACAATACACATCTTCCTTGTACTTTTTCAAGGCGTAGCTGCATAAATCATTTTCTCTGGCACACACGTGAGCCCTCGCCACTTCTGTCACCACCAGAAGTGCCAGCAAGGTCGCTGCAAGGGAGGCCCCACCCGGGTTCCTCATGGTGCCTTCAGCCCCAGCTGGCAGGCACGGGACTGCTGTCCTCGCACACACTGGGGTCTCACTCTGAGAAATAACCACGTCATCAGTTTTGTGAGAAGTCACCAAAGTTGCTACCTGAGGCATCCAGTCCAAGTTTCCCCTCTGAATTAACTCCTGGGTCCTCAGACACCCGGGGCACCCTGTCCGCCGACCGGCACACACCATGGCTGAGGCACGAGCCCACCTCGCTGGTGTCGCCACCCTGGAAAATGTGGGGCTTAGCCGACATCAACAGCCTTCCCTCACGGAACTGCTTACATCTCCGGGGCCTTGGTTTCCCGTCACAGGAAAGCTGCACTGCGATCAACCCAGCAGCTGTTTCTTCCCAAACACCCTCTGGGGTTCTGGGAAAGCGAAGGGGACCGGCAAGGAAGTCTTCTCCTGTCCTTTGCCTCCCACGTGACATTCCTGTTAAAACGCAAGACGCTGACAAGGCGCTGCACACGCTGAGCCCTGCGGCCTGTGCAGAACAGGCTGCGAGCTTAGGCCTGTGCGAAGCTGTGCCATTTACAGACACCCACAGGCCGAGCCGAGCACGCTCAGCTCCCGGGGAGAGCAGCCTCCGAGGCAGCTTACAAACAGAGTCAAGCACAGGGAGGGGGACGCCTCAGGGCACGAACAGTGTGCTGGGGACCCACAGACTGGTCTGAAAGCTGCTGCCGTCCACAAGAAAGGACAGCACAGGTCCTGGGTCCCTGCGCCACACAGGTCCTGCTCTCTGCAGGGTCACTGTGAGCAAAGGCCAGACCACAAACCCTGCTGCTCTGGACACACTTCTCCTGTCCTCAGGGATTGTGTGATGCCTGAAAAATTGAGATGTTATTCTAGCAGGAACAAGAAAAAAAAACCTAGTTTTATAAGACCCATTTTCTTTCACTCTCAAAGTCACGTAAGTTCACTTAAAGGAAAGGGAATCTGTATTGAAGAGTGAGTTCAACTACATAAAACAAAACGCTGAAAAGAGATGTTCACTTCAGAGGCCCCTCACCTCACCGGGTTGAGCCAGGAAGGGGACACCGTGCACCCCGGAGTTTTATGGCTGACTCAGTTTGTCAACTTGACTGAGATCTGACACAGGCAAACTGCACTGCTCCCTAAGCCGGGGGAGGTTGTACAAACCAGACACTGCAACACAGGTACCGTCTTTCCAAAGGGCTCCCAAGGGAAACGGGCTTCTTAAACAAACAAGGAACCGCTGTGCAGTGCATCCTCCTCTCAGCCACATCAGCAGGAAGGCCTCCTGGTACTGTTCCACCCCGGCCCGCCCTCCTCCTTCCTCCTTCCCAGCCCCGACAGTCTGATCGTGCAGGGCGGTCGGAACCTGCGGCCTCCTGGGCCAGCCTCCCTGGCCAGCCCCTCGGAACCAGCGGCGGCGTGGAGCCACCTCCGACGTGCACTCACCACTTTCTCCTTGGAGCGCAGGACGCCCAGCTTCCCGAAGCGCACGTGGAAGGGCGAGCACTGGTAGGTGCCGTCCTGCTGCCGCACCACCACCACGTCGATGCAGCCGGACAGGGTGGCCTGGTTGATGCCCTTGTACAGCTCCTTCACGGTGACGAGCACCTGCCCGGCCAGCTGGCCCACGTAATTCATGGTCTGAGACTGCAAGAGAAAACCGCCGGTGAGACGCGGCACCGACGCTGTGGCTCCGACAGCGACACAGTCTGAGCGGAGAGTGAGAGGCCTGTGCCACGAGGCACAGGGCAGGGACCCCCGGGCCCCGAGTTCAGGGCCTGCACGGCGTCTCGGGACAATGCTGATCGCCCCTGCCGCCCACCGGGTCTGTCTGGAGCCGGAGGCCACGGCAGCCCAGCAGCACCACAGGGGAAGGTCACCGGGGGTCCTCGCCCAGCCACTGCGGGGCACAGCTACCCGCTCAGCCATGCATACCACCACAGAGGGAAAGGCCCAACGGGCCTCGGCACGGCTCCCTGGAACACACAATCATGTGCCACGTGGCTCTACACCCAACACAAGTGCTCCAGCCTCTCTGAGGAAGGGCTCCTGGCTCAGACTCACCAGTCAGTCAGGATGGCCAGAGGGCTGCAGGGTCTTCCAGGAAGGGTCAGGGCAGGGGAATGCAGCTACCACTGGCTCTGCCTGACCCAACCCTAATTCTTCCGCAGAGAAAACCAAAGCCAAACCAGAAACCCCTTAGTCCCTTCTTCCTAAGTGTATTTCTCTTGTGTAAGTTACTTCTGTTGCTAACAGCCCACGTGCTGCTTTTCACTGCTGTGTAGTACTCCACAGCACTGCCTGGTGAGGAACACCTAAGCTGTTTCCAGTTCCTGGCAATTACAAATAAAGCTACAATGGGAGAAGCCACATACAGGTTCCTGAGCTTTTACTGCACTGGGCAAATGCTTAACTCTTGATTGCACGGGAACGGACCCTGCCAAACTGTTTTCCAGAACTGCTGTGCCGTTTTGCATCCCCACCAGGGTATGGGGCAGCCAGCGGTGTGGCATCCTGAGCACGTGGCATGGTCACCCTTTTTATTTTCCCATGGTGACAGGTGCGGTTCCAGTTTGAAACCGCATCTCCCTAGTGGCCAGCGACGCCAGACGTCGTCTTGTCGTACACGTCGCGTAGCTGCAGCGTCACTTAGAGGAAAAGGGAACACAAGGCCCGGGGATTTGGCTCTGTGATTCTGCCACCTGCCCCACAAGCACACAAAAAAGGAGCACACGCTTGCTTTGTTCTTACCTCCGGGGTCACGGCATAGGTTCATGATGTTATAAGTGTCTCCAAAAACAAGAGAAAAAAAACAAGTGCATCTCGCGAGGTCCGGCCCTGGCCCTTGGGGCACAGCCTCTGCGCTCTGCCCACCTCACCCCCTTCCACCTCACAGCACACAAACCGCGCAGCTCTGCATGTCACACAGCCACGGCACCGGTACATGAATTTTATCACTGTATGAAAATCATAATTATGGGTCTCTTTCCCTTAAAGAAACCCAAAACAATAACTTTTGAGCATCCCCAGTCAGACATAAACAAGTTGTCTAAACGTCAGTGTGTAACAAGCCCGCATCACTGCTAGCATAAAATCCATAATTAAGTGGAATGACAGCTATTCAAGATGGTTTTAATTACCACAGTTAAGGGATCTGCTGCAGGCATGAAGATCTATTGTGCAGATGCTGGTTGCTAAATGCAGAAAAACACAGGCTGCCAAGAGAACTGGTTTCCCCTGAAGACATAAACAATTCTGCTCCTCAAGTGAAGGCTGGGAAAACAAGGAAAGAGAGGCCGGGATCTGAATGGCTGCTCCTGGGGACCCAGGCGGAAGAAGACCTGCTGCAGGCCCCGCGCACCCGAGAGCACAGCGCCTCTTGGGGTGATGCCACCTGCTCGAGGTGTAGAACAGCTTCCCGTGCAGGTGCAGCCCAGCCCTCGGTGTCATCCCAGATGCCTGGCACCAGGCAGCGTGCCCACCAGAGTGCTGGAGGCTAGAAATTAGCAGCCACCAGCCCCGGGGCCTTTGGAGAGCCACACTGTGAAGATGCCAGCTTTGCAAATGAAGTGTGAAACTACAGCAAAATGACGCACTCTGTGCTGTGACTGTGTCCAGATGTCCCTCAAAGCCTCACACAGTCACAGGTGGGGCTTTCTGAGGTGGCCGGACCTAAGCCATGTGACTGATTCACAGTGCGGTGCTAGGACTAGGGTGCTGGGACCAAGGTGGGTGGTCACCAAATGAGTCCACTGATTGGTCTGGCACGTCCCTAATCCCAGAAGCCTTGACACGACGTAAGGCACAGACAGAGCCTTGTCTTGCCTTTTCCTGCCTGCCTGCCATGGACGGTTTCTCCTCTGAGGTGCTCCTCAGCTGTGCCACCCGTCTTGGAGCAGCCGACATGGGCCGAAGCCTCTACAAACCGTGAACCAAACAAATTTTTCCTCCTTTAACTTTGGGTATCGGATGTTTTGTCTCAGCAGCAAGGGAAATGTAACTAAGACACACCGTAAGCTATGTTATGGTGACTGATGAAGGAAACAATGTGAGCTGGGGAGAGGAGACCGAGAGTACAGATTGCAGAGACCTGGGAAAGGGAGGCAGAGGCCACCGGGAAGGACGGGGGCAGCAGCTGGCAGGAGGTGCCGCACAGCGAGCGGGCCTGTCAGGCGGGGTGGAGGACAGTCGCAGAACCTCACGCAAGAGCTGCCGCAGAGCTCAGCGGCCCTGTCCCAGTCCCCGGAACCGAAGAGCCCACCCCCCACCTCAAACACAAGCACACTCGTCCTACACATCTCAGAAATGCATGGTATTAACAGTAATTACAGTCTAGCAACTCTTCTTTAGAGACCTAGGCCCCAACGCCTCAGTGCTACACTTGTAGTATCAACTCAGAAGGTATCATTATTTCTATTTTTAAGGATAATGAAGCTGAGGCATGGAAAGGTCCCCTCCCACCCCGAGGCCGCTGTCTAGAGATGCGATGAGGGTGCATCCAGAGTGGACTCCTCCCGAGAGAAGAAGGGCTGGAGCGCCTGCCCCCTTGCTCCCCAGGCCCCAAGGGTAAAGGACACATGAGGCACCTGCACCAGGAAGGACCCTGCACAGCGCAGCACCTCGGTCTAAGGCTTCCGAGCCGAGACCCAGAGACCGCAGGGCCTGCTGTAAGTCAGGCCCCATCTACGAAGTCTGTCCTGGCAGCTGTATCTAGGAGAGGAATCTGCGTAAGCACAGTCTGCTTTTCAAAAGTCTGGACACTCACGACTTCAGGAGCGCACAGCGTGGGCCCAGGAACGTCTCTGAGCTTCAGAACTGTGCTAAGCATCCCTGATAAAAGCTCTACCACACCTGACTTCTTGCTGTCCTCCCAATACAGGCACCACAGTGTCACCTGGCCACACGACTCTGAGGTTACCACATGGCACCCAAAGACAGCTCGACTGCCCTCTGACTCCGCCCTCTGCCAGGCCGCAGCTCAGACTTCGGGTGGATGTGGACTCCCAGGTGCTGGGTGGCATAGCCAGGGCAGAGACAGCACCCGCTGCCATCACATCACCGGCCGTCCCGCCCGACCACCTGCTCTCTGCGTGAGGGACGTGCCAGGGAACAAGGCTCCTGGCCACATCAGGAAACAGACCCAGGACACTGGTCGCCTGGATATGTGCCAGCCGCACCTGTGCCCTGGACGCTCGGGAGGCCACAGCCGCACTGACAAGCGCTTATTAGTTCCAAGAACTTGACGGAACCACTTCGCTGGATGCTCCAAGGCAACGCGGCGGTGGAGGCCGGCACTGGTCTCCTCTTCTATCTGAGACAGACACGAGGCTCTTACTAGAACCCAGCTCTGCTTCCACTGGGCCTCCCAAGTGTCTCCACCATCTGCCACCGCTGCCTAAACCATGAGGCTCAAGGGCGCCTGGTGTCCCTTGGGCGAGAGAATGGGCTGAACTTCAATCCCTAGAGCTCCCCTTCGGAGTGAGCAGGAAAGGCAGCGCCTGCCTCACGCTTCTCCAAGGACTTCCAAGTCTGCAGGAGCCCAGCCGAGCCGGCGAGTGTACAGAACGGGACGCAAGGCTGGCAGACGCCGAGGACCGAGGACGGAGCTAGACATCGGGGCGAAAACTGTCCCAGAAGCCGGGCACTGCGGAGCTTGCCCCAAATGCCAGCCCTGGAAGGCTCAGGAGGAGGGCTGCGCCTCGCTGGGCCCGGCCCCCAGAACCTCACGCAAGAGCAGGCAGCGCGGGGCAGGGTACGCTCAGGCAGTGCCTTACTTTGTAGCACGCAGGGCTTTTTTCTTTTTCCTGTCACAGCACAATGCTGCTGTGTTGCTTTGATTCATATTAATTTTATAAACACCCCTTTAGATCACTTTATAAAATAAGAACACAAGCAGTACAGGGAGAGCCTGGCCCACCCGAGGGCAGAGGAGAGAGCCCAGGGCCTCCCCAAAACCGGCTCTGAAGGGCTGGGGACACAGGCCCTTCACTTTGGGACCATTTACTCCCCACATGCAGAAGCTGAACCTGAAACCCCAGGTTTCCTGGCCAACTTCCATAACACACCACACTCTGCCTCTCCAGACAGCCTTTCGTGGGCAAGGAGACAGGAAGTCCATTAGATGCCCCATTCAGGAAGAGCCCTTCAACCCAATACCACAGAAACAATCACATAAGCCCGCAATTCTTTCAAGAAAAAAAACATGTGCTGGCACAACCCTCTAATCCCAGCACTCAGGAAGCTGAGGCAGGAGGACCGAGGCCATCTTGGGGTATAAAAGACTTACTGGTTCACTATCAAAGCAAAGATGAATCCAATTATCAAAATGTCCACTCTCCTGGCTTGTTTCTGGAAAGATTTAATTTCAGACAGTCAGAAAACCCTCCTGCGGATTTAGCTCAGTGGTTCTGATGCCTGCCTCACAAGCGCAAGGTCCTGAGTTCGATGCCCAGTAGCAAAAAGAAACCCCTCTTCGTGCAGATCCCAACGACACCAAGTCCTATGTATGCTCTAAAGACACGTAATTCCACCTTCCTTCTCTTGAGAAGGCCTTGGTCCCCCAGAGAGGGAGACCTGAGAGCATCCCTCTCCCGCTGCAGCACACCCCTAGCCTTCGGGAGCCTTTGGGAAGGCAGGAGGAGGTAAGA